CTCGGTGAAACCAGCCAAAAAATGATATCAGTTCATTCATTTGCAACTAATATGGATAGCGACGTACTATCGTATTGCCAGGCGTGCGAAACATGCGTCCGTGCTGTCTGACGCGTGCGTTTAATGGCCGAAATTTGTCTTCACTCACATGACTGCTTACAAAAATCAATACATAATGTAAATGTATGTTTTAAGTTAAACAGTGAGAGAGTTATTTTGTCTAAGATGATCGCAGATGCATAAATGGTGACGTATGGAAAGCAGCGCCAGAATATGGGATCCATATGCAAATTGAAATTATTAAAAGCGAAAACGATGAAGGGATTAGATACAAAAGCCGAAACATGGAGAGCAGCTGTTAAAAATGGGTCTAGAAGACTGCATGACAATAAAGCTGAGATAGCAGAATGAAACAGAATGCCTGGCTGTAAGAATATTCCAATGGTTATGCCGCCTGGTACTTGACTGCGACTGCAATTAACCTTGACCAACCCAGCAGACACTTTAATCATTTTAATAGTGTGAAACATAAATTACATATTAAACTATATATCAGAAACAATTTTTTATCAACTACTGTCAGAAGGGTTAATGCTTTACCTTTAGCAGGAGTCAACAATTCAACCAACTGGTCGCTGACAGGTACTTTATGCTTTACGCATAAATCAATTGCCTTGTCGTACTAAATTAATGCCACAGTCATACACAAACTAGAAAGCTAAGAACAAATATGCGATTTTAAATTACAGAAAAGAGGATTACAAAATCTGCATATGATGTCTCAAAGCATACCTCTTTGGCAATACACTTCATTGCTTCAAAATTTGAATTGAATTGAATTTGAAAATTCAATTTTTAAGCAAAACAACCCAGGCTGTAAATGGTAGTAAGATTAAAACAGCTCAGATTTAATTCATATTTAAAGTTAGGAATTACCTAGAATTTTCTGAGGGACGACTAAATGAATAACCAGAGGGACATTTAATATTTAAACAAAACAGCCCCGATGTTTTGCGTAGTCTTCAAAAGTCGGAGTTCGTAAGAGGAAGGACACGAGCGAGCGTGTGCTTACCTGCATAAGCATTACTGTTGATGTACCCATGCGTAAATGTGTCATGCACGATGCATTCACCGGCTTGTCAGCTCATGTAGGTGCATGCTAATCTGCCCCTGCTCTTAAGTGCATTAAGCTTTTGAACACATGTGTCTTTCAGACACATTTTTAAGACTAGGATCATCATCGGATTCGCCTCTGAAATCTGAGAAAGGTAGAAAAGTCTAAAGATTTTATTTTAAAAAATTTCAATTAAACAAAAACGCAATGAGCTTGGTTAAATT